GGCCCTAGTCTTTTTTGTCTTCAATAAGTTAGTGGTTCACTTGTTCCCTTAATCTGTTAAAACAAATGTTTTTGTTATCAAAATAAGTAAAACAGATGTATGATTCATTAACACATCACATATACATTATTCAAATACAATATCTCTCTTATTTACTCCATCCTTTAAAGTTTTTACGTAGGGATTAAAGAAACTATTAAATAGCTCTAATATGAGCAAAAATTAATTGTACAAGACTAAAATACCCTTATTCAATATGTATTGGGAATGAAAGGAATATGAAAAACACTTAACTTCCACCTAATCTAATGTATTGAAAAGTTAAGGGTAAATTTGGAAGAAAAAATATTAATTATGTTTTGGTTTCATTAAACGACAGATATTATGAAATAAAAAAAATTGTGTAAAACGACAGATATTTAGGAACAGAAAGAGTAACATTATTGTATAATAACATAGGAATAGATATAAATGATAAGTTATGCTAACCCAAAAACATTTATGACCTTCCAAAAATGTTAATTTTTCAACAAGATTAAAAAAATAATAATTACAAATTTATCATAGAATCCATCAAATTATAGACATTTTTTAGATTTGGAACAACTAGCCCTTTTAAAAATATCAATTTCTCAACAAGGTTAAAAGGAAATTGCTGAGAAATTTTTCATAGAATTGATTAGTTATAGACAACTCTTGAGATTTTAAACAATATTTTTGTGTTTCTCTTTAATATTTGATTAAGTTGAATTTTTTTTTGACTTTTTGGAATTTTGTCACAGGTCTCGTATAACTTTTTAGTTTATTATATTCATAACGTAAAAAAGTTTAAAATTTATATTTTTAGAACTATTATGCATAATCTATACATAAATGTAATTTTTTTTATTTGGACATAAAAAAACTAGAAAGTCACTCCAAAGAGATTTTTTCAACTTTTTAAAGAACACGTAAATAGTTTTGAGGGCTTTTTTAACTCGGATTTTTTTGCAAATCTTTTCAACTAGAGTTTTTTACCTAAATAAGTTAGCTCTAAACAGCCCGATGTATTAAATAGAAGAGATGCATTATTTTTGGTCAATATATATATGTAGGTCAGGGCATTTTATGTTTTTTTTAATATATCCAGAAATAAAACAATTTGTTTTACTATATCCGAAAATAATTATATTGATCAAATACACTTTGATAACTTTGACCCGAATGACTCAACTTTTTAAGTTTACAAAATCACGATTAGAGTAGGACTCATGAATTACTTTTAATTGGTATCTATTTCAAAAGGAAAAGTAGTGATATGGATGCGACTCGGCCGAATTGTAAATTTTTATTAGAGGTAACTCGTGTCTGAAAATATGATACAATGTGAATAATTTTGAGAAGAATATTAGTGATCGTTAAATCAGTCTATTTAAGACCGTCGATTAAACTTATTAATATTTATCCTATTTTATATTATAGATTATAAATGTTGAACATTGTTATTTGCAGACTCTTAACTTTGGAGGTTTGAGAGAGGACTTAAGGATCTGGCAGAGTAATTCTTTTTTAATTTTATTAAAAAAAATCAAATTTTTTTTTTAATTTTTTATTAATAAATAACATAATAGAAAATAAATTCTAATGATAAAATTTAAAATATTTAATATTTTATTTTTGATTAGAATATTTTTTGTCTAAGTATAANATACAAACTTTCACTCGGACTTTTGAGAAAAGGTAAAGGAAACTTGGGCTATCTTTCACTTGATCTTTTACATGTAAACGATTTGTACGAGAATTAGAGATAATTTATGTCCGAAGACACAATATAATGTGAATAATTTTGAAATAAATATTAGTAGCTGTTGAACGAATTTATTTTAGACTGTCGGATGAGTTTATTAAAATTTACTCTATTTTATATTATAAATGTAATAATTGTAAGTGAATTTAATAACCCCAGGGGAGTGGAGCTACGTGCATTAGTGTGGGGGCAACCCTCACTGACATTTGAGCGGTTAATTATATAAATTGTTATGGCAACAAAAGCTATGTTCAATTTCTCTCATTGCTCCCTAAGCTTTGTGAAATTTGAATAGTGGCCTAGTCTTTTTTGTCCTCACTAAGTTAGTGGTTCACTTGTTCCCTTAATCTGTTAAAACAAATGTTTTTGTTATCAAAATAAGTAAAACAGTATGATTCATTAACACATCACATATACATTAGTCAAATACAATATCTCTCTTATTTACTCCATCCTTTAAAGTTTTTACATAGGGATTAAAGAAACTATTAAATAGCTCTAATATGAGTAAAAAATAATTGTACAAGACTAAAATACCCTTATTCAATATGTATTGGGAATGAAAGGAATATAAAAAACACTTAACTTCCACCTAATCTAATGTATTGAAAAGTTAAGGGTAAATTTGGAAGAAAAAATATTAATTATGTTTTGGTTTCATTAAACGACAGATATTATGAAATAAAAAAAATTGTGTAAAACGACAGATATTTAGGAACAGAAAGAGTAACATTATTGTATAATAACATAGGAATAGATATAAATGATAAGTTATGCTAACCCAAAAACATTTATGACCTTCCAAAAATGTTAATTTTTCAACAAGATTAAAAAAATAATAATTACAAATTTATCATAGAATCCATCAAATTATAGACATTTTTTAGATTTGGAACAACTAGCCCTTTTAAAAATATCAATTTCTCAACAAGGTTAAAAGGAAATTGCTGAGAAATTTTTCATAGAATTGATTAGTTATAGACAACTCTTGAGATTTTAAACAATATTTTTGTGTTTCTCTTTAATATTTGATTAAGTTGAATTTTTTTTTGACTTTTTGGAATTTTGTCACAGGTCTCGTATAACTTTTTAGTTTATTATATTCATAACGTAAAAAAGTTTAAAATTTATATTTTTAGAACTATTATGCATAATCTATACATAAATGTAATTTTTTTTATTTGGACATAAAAAAACTAGAAAGTCACTCCAAAGAGATTTTTTCAACTTTTTAAAGAACACGTAAATAGTTTTGAGGGCTTTTTTAACTCGGATTTTTTTGCAAATCTTTTCAACTAGAGTTTTTTACCTAAATAAGTTAGCTCTAAACAGCCCGATGTATTAAATAGAAGAGATGCATTATTTTTGGTCAATATATATATGTAGGTCAGGGCATTTTATGTTTTTTTTAATATATCCAGAAATAAAACAATTTGTTTTACTATATCCGAAAATAATTATATTGATCAAATACACTTTGATAACTTTGACCCGAATGACTCAACTTTTTAAGTTTACAAAATCACGATTAGAGTAGGACTCATGAATTACTTTTAATTGGTATCTATTTCAAAAGGAAAAGTAGTGATATGGATGCGACTCGGCCGAATTGTAAATTTTTATTAGAGGTAACTCGTGTCTGAAAATATGATACAATGTGAATAATTTTGAGAAGAATATTAGTGATCGTTAAATCAGTCTATTTAAGACCGTCGATTAAACTTATTAATATTTATCCTATTTTATATTATAGATTATAAATGTTGAACATTGTTATTTGCAGACTCTTAACTTTGGAGGTTTGAGAGAGGACTTAAGGATCTGGCAGAGTAATTCTTTTTTAATTTTATTAAAAAAAATCAAATTTTTTTTTTAATTTTTTATTAATAAATAACATAATAGAAAATAAATTCTAATGATAAAATTTAAAATATTTAATATTTTATTTTTGATTAGAATATTTTTTGTCTAAGTATAATATTTTAAATTTGAGGAGTCTAAATATTATATATATATATATACAAACTTTAAGGGATCTAAATATACTTTACTAGCACATATTCTAATAGACAATAGGGTAAAGATCTAAATATTATACGCAAATGAAATCATTATTCGATTAGCCTGCGTTTCTCAATCTGTTCACTTCTTCCTTCTCTTTACAGCCTTTGCCTAACAGTCCTTCGCTTCCTCAGTCCTCTCCTGATAAACCCAAGCGAAATGATATGCAGCAAAACATCTCCCTTGAGATTTGTGATTGGCCACCTAGTGTGGAGTGAGAGGCTATTAGCCTATTGCCAACTCTAATAGACTCATCTGGACCTCCAACTTGTGATTTCCAAAGGAAAAAACAATCTAAATGAGAATTATGCAACAATTATCAAAACTCCCACCTTTTTCATTCACCCTAACCCAATCTACTGACAGCTCTAAAGCAAAATTGTAAGACTTAAGGTGACAAAATGAAACATCAGTAAACAAATTGCTGCAAGGGAAAAACTTCTATGAAGCAAAAATGTAAAATAAAACATCATACAAAGGANCCTAAGCTTTGTGAAATTTGAATAGTGGCCTAGTCTTTTTTGTCCTCACTAAGTTAGTGGTTCACTTGTTCCCTTAATCTGTTAAAACAAATGTTTTTGTTATCAAAATAAGTAAAACAGTATGATTCATTAACACATCACATATACATTAGTCAAATACAATATCTCTCTTATTTACTCCATCCTTTAAAGTTTTTACATAGGGATTAAAGAAACTATTAAATAGCTCTAATATGAGTAAAAAATAATTGTACAAGACTAAAATACNGGAAAACACGTTCAATAAACCAAGAATTGAACCATGGGAAAACCCTCAGGAAATCCTTTTATTNGAAAAAAAACGTTCAATAAACCAAGAATTGAACCATGGGAAAACCCTCAGGAAATCCTTTTATTNATGTATTGGGAATGAAAGGAATATAAAAAACACTTAACTTCCACCTAATCTAATGTATTGAAAAGTTAAGGGTAAATTTGGAAGAAAAAATATTAATTATGTTTTGGTTTCATTANTTCATTACAACCCATCAGATCTTGGGACGACACCCTGACAAGTGAACAAAAAATTACTATTACACCAAGGCTTTGAGAACCCACACCTAGCCACCTTTGCATTCATTCATAAGTTGAAACAAAAAAAATATTCCTGAAATTACAATCAGCTCACTATACTACCCGATCGGTGCGTTGGCATATAATAGTGTGAAAAATAGTTCAACTTCTTGTATGTTTCGGATGATTTGGATAAACCTGTTCCTACTAGGTTCTTCAAGCAGTAGTGGTGCCATCTGTGCAATGCGGGGTAGAAGTTTGGCTAGTGGCATCCCTGATGACAAACTGCCTTCTGATTGAACCTCTATATCTTCTACCAGTGCATCCACCACTGTTTTCAAGGTCATATCAACGATATTTCCAAATTCAGCACTGCAAGCAAAATAAATAAATACAATTTGTCAAAAAAATTAGCAAGTTGAAACAAGAATAGTTTGGGTCAGCTTATGTTTAAATTTCAATCTCTCAAGCACAAAACAAATACCATGGTACAGGTTCTACTTGGAAGCATTTTAAGATGATGTCATTTAATGAACTCACAAATATACAATATTTGCAGAATAACTCTTTATATAATAAATCTTATTTCAGTAGATCAACTTGCTAAATTCAGCATTTAGAGCAGCTAAAAAGCCGAGAAGTTTTGGTGTTTAATAGAAATTATATACCATTGTTTATCCCCGATACTGAACATAGGTCAGATATGCCAAGTCATTCGACGTGAAGTTGCTTCAAAACATTCTTTAAATTATCAATGAGACAGCCTCATCTCTGTTTAGAAGTCACATGACAACGAGTACCACGGCTAGCCGTGGTGAATCCCTGGAGACAAATCAAGTTGTCTCACATGATATATATCTCTGGAACACAAGAATGCTTGAATTTGCAATTAATAATGGAGGATTGCATTTAATTGCCTAAGACTCTTCCTCTATCCCTACCAAACCTCAAACTCTATATCTGTGGCCCTAACCCACATTTGAAGCCAATAAGCCACAAGAGAGGCACCTTTTATTTGATCTTCATACTTCTCAATTGTTGAATCAGCAAGAAAACAACAGTACCTTGATAACACGGCACGTGTCTCTGCCATAAGTAGGTCAAATTTGGTTGCATGAGAAAGATCTGTACTGTCACTGCCGGAGGATGCAATAAGGTCTTGTACTCTGGCATCCTGTGGCATCAAATAATCTACCCAATGATGAGGATTTCCCATGCTCATGAACGTGTCCAGTATCTGCACAATGGTATCATGGAGTACAGTAGTGTTGAACAAATCCTTCAAATGATTCCTGCCAAAAAATGTTCACGAACAATTTTTTTATCAGCGACATCACAAATTCATTAAGGATGAAAAATTCATTACATGAAGAAAGACCGATCCTCAAATAAAAGAAACAAGAAAGGAAAAAAACAATAAACAGGTTGCATTTCACATACAGATTTCCAATGTGCGCTACTAACAAATGAACTTCTGGGGAAATCAGGAGAAACGCTGAGGTAGCCATTTCAGATACCAGAAAAATTTTAAAGAACCATGTCTAACATCCGCACAATGATTCAATATGGTACAGGAATGTTCAAGAAACCCTTACAAATGTTTTTATGCAAATGAAAAGTTTATTAACGTTTCAAAATAGTAGTGGCGGCTATTTCATACAATGCCATGCAGTTTCAGAAAATTTTGAAGAAAACTTCATAAATAACTGTCACTAGATGAAGACTTTGCGAGGACAAAGGACCCAATTTACCTACAGGAAGTCCGTAGGAAGTTTTGGAGACTGACTTTAAGGTAGGTAAGTCGGTTCCATGTCTCGGTTGAAATCTATGGAGCTTGAGTCAAGGGTATTTTAAAGTGCTATCATAGTTATTCAAGACCCCAAGCCAAGGTTTTGTCAGCTTACGGAGAAGGCCCAACAGAAGACACAAAACTGAGCAAAGAAAGGCACATGAGAAAGACAAAGCACGTTGCATTTACCAACATTGCACTAGTTTAGAATATGCAAGACAAACTATAAAAAATCCGAAGCAACTTAAGGCTTTTTTTGACGTATTAACCAAGAGCGTTATATAAATCAATGAAATGCACAGATATCCTTTCAATATGCAGATGAATTAAAACTGATTGTTGTACCATTAAGACACGGTAAAATATGCAACAGAGAACTAGTCGGTATGTTTTTTTCATTTTTCTTTTTTTCCCAAAGATGTGTGTCAACTAAAAAGGTAGCCAATATCATTGAGATATTCTTTCCATCCACATATACATCAACTACATGAAATATCAATGAACGGCATTTATAATAAGGAAAGCTCCTCCGCCTCACCCCCTGACCCCAGGAGAAAAAGTGGCCCAGAGAGCACAATGTGCAAAAGCNACTACATGAAATATCAATGAACGGCATTTATAATAAGGAAAGCTCCTCCTCCTCACCCCCTGACCCCAGGAGAAAAAGTGGCCCAGAGAGCACAATGTGCAAAAGCAGGTTCGAGAATCACCTCCTAAACCCCCAAAAGTGTGGTCTAATGTTCCAAAAACAAAATAAATCAAATATCATTTCAAAAGTGCAACAATAATTGTATAGTTATATAAATCTTCAAAATATATTATATCACAAATGCGCAGACAAGCCTATGCACATCTGATACAAATAGTCAGCCATAAACCCATCAAGACAAACACTAATCTATTAATATTAAGCTGATGTGACGTAGCATGATGGAACATGGAGCTTATTGATATTATGGGAAAATATGACTGGATGATTAAATATAAACGTACACACCGAACAGTGTTGGCCCAACCTATAGGTCACTAAGGTCATTGCCCAGGGCCGCCAAATTGGGGCCCCAAAATAAAATTTCAAACAAAGGTATACAATCTAAATTTTGGGATATAATTAAGTACTCAATGCATTTTAACCATTGAATCACCGGTGAGTGCCAACTTTAAACAAAATTCACTATTTATCCAATGTATTTGGTCCTCAAATTAAGTGCAATTAGTATTATTGTAAAATTTTTAGAACATTTTTTAACAAAATTTAGGGCTTTTCAACCTAATTTTTTTTATCTTACCCGATGTTTATATTATATATATTATCACTTTGCAGTATTATTATTAAAATCAATTGTCTATCGTATAATAGACATGAATAAAAATTATACATTTCTATAAGTTAAATTTGAAGCCATTTTTTAATTAGTTTGTTTACAATGCACATAATGACTATAAAATAAGTGAGTAGAAGTAGTGCACTATATAAAATTAATTAACCATAGTTATCTTACTAAATTTTATTATTAAACATAGCCCTATTTCTCACCAATATCTGGCCATGTCTCATTTATTTTAGGATCACTCAACTAGTATAAAATCTTATTATTTTATCAGTTAAACTAATTTTCAATTATGTTCTCTTTATCTTAAACAAATAGCATGTATCATTGTATTTGATCTCCGGATTTGACTTCAGTTAACACAATTTTTATTTGCAAAATTTGAATTAGTATGTTGTATCTCAAAAGGCAAAACAAATGATTTTAAATAAACATATTTTAATATTTTGATAACTATTTAATACTACTATTATTACTGCATAAATATTAATAGAGCCTCGTATAACATTTTTGCCTAAGGCACATGGGTTAGGCCATCCCTGACGCCGAAGGGCTTTAGTGAACTGACCAAAGGAACCTTACTTGGTGGACAAAGTATTCCGCCAAAAGTGGTGCAGGAGGTGCAAGCTCCAGCGAAGGAGTCGGAGGAAGGTTCAGATCAGGAAGCAATTGGTTCGAAAGAAGAGAAGGAGCTAGTAGCAAAGGGGAAACCAATGATGTACAAGAAGGTTGAATCGGGAGATTTTCTTCTTCTACATCATCCTCTGTTTCAGCTGTAGTCATCTCTTTCAGGTTGGGAGACTAGTTTAACCAAAAGTGAGCTTTCTAACATTGACAAACCTTAATTTCGTACCCTGATGTTGAATTTGTAATTGTCATCTCCATGCGGTATTTCATTCTCCACGCACTGTTTATGGTGTTCCATCACAAAGTATTTGTGTTTAAGAGGGGCAAGGAGCAGACTGCAGGCTGCAGAAGAGGTTCACTTGAATACTCCACTAATTTTGTAAGCATAAGTAGGTATCTCTCTCAGCTTTTTCTTTTCTTTTCGAGTGTTTTTTACCCAAAGTGCTGAGGGTAGGAGTGAAGCAGCATTTCTTTAACTCTGTTTGGTTGTTGGTTCTTAAAGTACATAAATATGAAAATAAAATAGAAACAGGTATCATCTGGTACTTGGTGCTTAGATGAAGACAAACAACATATGCTAGTTTTTAAGATATTGAGCAAAGCCTCACCCCTTAAGGACTCCGGATGCTGCTGCCTGCATATTAGAAATCAAGGTGGCCAAGCCATCATTGCTTAGAAAATCTGCACTGGAAAGAAACTGCTGCTCGTCATTCCTTTCAATTAGATCAGCTTCCTCCTGAAAGGACAAGGAAGGACAGGGTTCCGTTCATCCATTACACCGCATATCATTGTTTTAGGGTGATGTTTTAGCCTTCAATAACTATTAACAAGTTAAAAAAGAAGTTTAGTGACATCACATGTGAAGATTATCAACAATCCAAAACAGAAATATTTCCAGAATGAGGCCATAGGTGTATGGTTATTAGGAGCTTACGGAGAGCAATCCCAATGCAGTTCAGATCACCCTGCTGTAGAAATGACTTCTACGGGCACAAGAGAGAGAGAAGGCCNGCCTAATACTCAATGAGGCCATAGGTGTATGGTTATTAGGAGCTTACGGAGAGCAATCCCAATGCAGTTCAGATCACCCTGCTGTAGAAATGACTTCTACGGGCACAAGAGAGAGAGAAGGCCATATCACCATGTTTAAACAATAAAATGAGTTTCATATTATAAGAAATGAGAAGAAAGGTGCCAATGTGGTGTGTTATGCCTGCAGTGGCACGATAAGCTTTAGCCATGTGTACCCATTAAATGCCACCACCAAAAGAGACAGATTTGATGATTTTGTACTAAAACTGTCATTATGTACGAAAGGTCACCATGCAAGCAAACAAGATCTATTACATGCCTTGTTGATACAGATTTGATTTTAAAAGAAAAAAAATGCATTTGAACAAGAAGAAGGGAATCACCAACAAAGAAAAGTCTGTACCAACATTTGGTCCGTGTTAGAAGGCCCTATACAGCCCATTGCCCCATGTTCCTGCCATGTAAGAGGATCAGTGGAACCTCTAGTCATCTCCTCATCCATTGAGTATCATATAATGTGTTACCAATTTACCAGTTAATAACACATCGATGTAACTTTCTGATCTGTGGATGTATGTACGATGTCCACATGTGGGTACACTGTATCAGACAATGTTATATATTTGTGTTTGTTTTGTTGTTTTCCTATCTTGAATTTCTATCTCCCAACTTATGGTATCAGTGTTGATTATTCGCTGCGCAAAACCAACAAGATTATGCCATGTGGCAAAACAATTTTCTACGGGACTAATTTTGTTACTCCCATAAATATCAAGTACAATGCTTTATGTTGGGAATTCTTTTTTAAGGGCTAGGCAGAGATTATGGATCTTGTAATTGCATGACAGAGGGGCCTGAAATGAAGGTCATTATAACCTTTTTTGCATACTTTGGGATGCTATTATAACTCCCAGTAAGGTAAACCATATGGTAGAAAAAGTTGACTTTGCACTCGTTTTAACAGTAAAAAATATACATGTTAAATTGAAAAGAGAAAAGGAGAAAATAAAAACAGAATACAATGGGCATTGTGAGAANGCAAGGTAAACCATATGGTAGAAAAAGTTGACTTTGCACTCGTTTTAACAGTAAAAAATATACATGTGAAATTGAAAAGAGAAAAGGAGAAAATAAAAACAGAATACAATGGGCATTGTGAGAAAAGCATAATCATAAAACTCATCAAGGATAAAGTAAAGCTCAAACTTGATTTCACTCATTTCGCAATACCCATCAAAACTGAGACTTCCATTTGTCATAAATACCATAAAAAATAACCTTCTATGTATCATCATCCACATCACTGCATACAAGGATGTTATGTCTATCAATCTGTTAAAAAGTTTAACTTGCATTTCCAAACTAACAAGACCCTTCATTTTCTGGTACTAGTAATAGATGTGAAATCTAAAACAAGTATTTTAGGATAACTGCCAGAAATTTTGAAGAAACCATAATTTTTTTTTTCACAACTTCCACATGGGGAACCAATTCAACCTTAAACCTAGAAGACATCACAAAAGTTCTAGACCAGAAAAAAAGAGAAACTACTGAATCTCAAAGGCTGTTAAATCTTGGTAGGGTACGGGAAAAGCATACAGAGTTTAAAGCCAAGGAGGAAGAAAATAGAGTCTTTCTAAATACATATTAACAACTCAACCCAACCATCTAGATGCCACCATATACACCTGAAACACACCTGGTGTTTTCCAAGCCATGTCAATCACAACAATAAAGGGTACCAAAGACAACAAACAATCAGACATACTAAAGCACACAAGCAAGCACATAACTCACAAAACATGAACTTGACAAACCACTCCTGAGTAAAATATTGAAACTCTGAAACAATGCGTCTAAAATGGTTTCCTCTTTAAAAGCCATGCCACCACTCAACCAACAGACTACACTCCGACAGTTGAGATTAATTCAATGGAATGTTCCCACTTCCTCATAAGAACACAATAGTAACTAAACCTTTTTACAAAACTTCGTGGTGTTAAATTTTCTTATACTTCTCTGACCATAAATCTCTGCACAACTCTACAATATTAATTTGCTCCTTCTACATGGTAAGAGCTACTCTACATATGCGTAAACTTATATGCATGTCTTCAACTATAGAATTGTAACGTAGGCTAAGAAAACCTCCTAAACAAACTGCAAGGATAAACCTGTCAATATTTGGAGACAAATATTAGGGTTTTGTCGATGCTCCTCCCTTATCGGACACTTTTTCAAAATGTTAAGATCCACAACCAACTAACTCATCGGACCAAAACAAAAAGCATTCACTAAGACAGAAAAATTATGCATGTCTTCAACTATATGATTGTAAGGTAGGATGAGAAATCCTTATAAACAAACTGCAACGATAAACCTGGCAATATTTGGAGACAACTGTGAGGATTTTGACAATGCTCCTCCCACATCAAACTATTTTCTAAAATGTTAAGAACCACAACTAACTGATTCATCAGACCAATGCAATAGCNAGGATAAACCTGGCAATATTTGGAGACAACTGTGAGGATTTTGACAATGCTCCTCCCACATCAAACAATTTTCTAAAATGTTAAGAACCACAACTAACTGATTCATCAGACCAATGCAATAGCCATACACTAAGAAAAGAAACACTGCAATGTAATCACGTTTTGGGGAAATCACATATATGAAATATCTATTTGCACAAATATGTGCTAGATATCTTACTCTAAAATTTCCTGTTGATATCGTGCCATTGACATAAGTGGATGTTTCTTATAAAAATTTCAACTGCAAACAGGAAAAAGGCAGTAGCTCTTACAAGTAGCTGAGAACNTACTAGATATCTTACTCTAAAATTTCCTGTTGATATCGTGCCATTGACATAAGTGGATGTTTCTTACAAAAATTTCAACTGCAAACAGGAAAAAGGCAGTAGCTCTTACAAGTAGCTGAGAACTTCCAATACCACGTGCAGTGTCAATATATAGATGTCTCCCCAATATGTTGACCTGAACTCTAATATATAAGCTAAGCATCGTCATTGCCCACAGGGACAAAGCCATCCTAGTGAAACCTGGGCAGTAAACAGAATTCCAAGAAAAAATAAGCTAGCTATAACATTTTAATTGCAACACTTTCGAAGAAGATTTTGAAAGCTAAAGCACCACAAAGGTAAAAAAAAAACGAAAGGTTAACAATTCATACTTAATATTTTGAGTCTATCCCATAACTCGAGTCTCTCGGATGACGCAAGAGTGTTGGGCCGACCCTTCCCTTTCATTAGCCTCTCTGCCAGGTTCATAACGTCCAACTCTTCTGCTACTTGACTACTTAAAGATAGCATTGCATGGGGCAATGTCGTCATATCAGATATTCTTTGGATGTTCTCAAAGTGTGCCTGCATTCTATTAGTCATTGGAAAACCCAAAAGTAAGAACCCAAATAACATTTGTTTCATAAAAACAAATTCCATCTCAAGGAAAATGGAGATGTTGAATCTTTTATCTTAACTGGGCCTTAATGAGTTCATCACTTTCGTGCCTGCCCGCAAGTTCTCTTTCCAGATCAGATAGCCTACGCCTGTGAGCATCATAAAGCTTGTACACCAAGTACCCACTTCCTAAAACTCCAAGTGTGACATACACTTTCCTCTTATGCCTTCTCCAAAACTCCCTGACACGCAAGATCAATGACAAACAGAATTAAACCATCAAAAAAACAGTTTATTTTCTTTCTTTGCGAGTAGCAATAGAACAGCTACTGATTCCTAGCCCAACCACTAAATGGATAATCAAAAGTACCTAAACAAAGGGATTGAAGCATATAAATGGTATTTTCGAGAAAGACCCACTTACACAGCCACAAAATTGAAAAATCCCAGACGAAGAAACGGGAATTTCAGGCACAAAAAATAAAAGTTCATCAAATTAAAAATCAGTTAAAATCCCACAAAACTGAGCCAAAATTGGCAAAAAAAAAACTAAACATCCAACAAAAACTGATGCAAAAACAAACAAAAAGATTATAAAAAATTCGAATTCACATGAGAGAAGAATTGACCCACCACATTCAATCTTCCTTCTTGAGTCGACCTATATAGCTCTGTATGCTCTACCACAGACCCAACAGTAGCTGGACCTTCACTCTCACTGTCTCTATCGCTTTCTCTCTCTAAGAAATCCTCTTCCTTCTACGTAAAGCGAAGAACTGAACTGTAAATGATTCGGAGACGAAAAATTACGAAGGTATGGGAACTTTTTCGAACTTCAAGCAACGCATCTCACATCGGAAAACCTAAGGTGTTGTTTGCCTGCTCGGAAAATGCAAGAAAAAGGAATAAAATTTCTTTAAGAAAAACTTGGTGTGTCGGGCGATTCTCCCATCTAAAATCTTAGGGAGAATTACATTCGAAAGATTAGTCACTTATAATTAAACTCATCATATTTGAAATATTATATTCAGAGCCTGTAATTTATACGTACGTAACACTTAGACCTCTACAGTCAAATGTCCGTTAATATATCTATTAATAAATTATACTAAGACTCTTTGAAATTTATAGGCGTACAATATTTAAATTATTTAAGTTTAAAATGTTATATTAAAACAAAAAATGTTCTAATCAAAAATTAAATATCAAATATTTTAAATTTTAAAATTAAAATTCATGTTNATAGCCTGTAATTTATACGTACGTAACACTTAGACCTCTAAAGTCAAATGTCCATTAATATATCTATTAATAAATTATATTAAGACTCTTTAAAATTTATAGGCGTATAATATTTAAATTATTTAAGTTTAAAATATTATATTAAAACAAAAAATATTCTAATCAAAAATTAAATATCAAATATTTTAAATTTTAAAATTAAAATTCATGTTCTATTGTATTATTTATTAAAATAAAATCAAAAATTATTTTTTCTTAATTAATATACAATTATACTATCTATGGTAATAAAGCTAAAACATCAAATAAAGAGCCCTAAGTCATTCATAATAGAATATAAATTTTACAATCAAAATTTAAAATTCATACTTTATTATGTCATTTATTGNTCAAAAATCAATTTTTTTTAAAAAATCGTAATTAGTATACAATTATACTATCTATGGTAATAAAGCTAAAACATCAAATAAAGAGCCCTAAGTCATTCATAATAGAATATAAATTTTACAATCAAAATTTAAAATTCATACTTTATTATGTCATTTATTGAAATAAAATCAAAAATAAAAATTTAATTTTTTTAAAAAAATTATAATTAGTATACAATTATACTATCTATTGGAATAAAACTAAAAAATCAAACAAGA